CTGTGAAATATATTGTATTTTAGCAAAGTTTGCTCAGGTTTGATGGGCTTGCCTCCTTGGCTTACTGATCATTGCCTGCAGTATAGAAGGTTATTCTAGATAGCAGAGACTCTGTATCTTACCAGAACACTTTTGGTGCTTTAGGTTGAACTTGTCCCATCCTAGAAAGGTGGTTTTAAAACACAAAGAACAAAAATTCATCCCTTATGAACATGCCATATGTATATATGTATATGTATATAAACAGGCATTTCCTGTTTATTTTACTTATTTTAAAATCCATACCTGCATAGGCTATTTTTTTTTTTTTAAGGAAAACAAAGAGGATATTCACCTACGGGTCAGTGGTTTTTAGTATATTATTAGGTTGTGCAACCATCCCACTACCTAATTCTGCCTGATTACAGATAGAATTAATTCCTAAGTAATGAATTCCTCATTGGTAAGGCCCTAATTAATTCCCAGTTCCTAATTTAGAACTAACAGTTGCTGCCCATTTCGGTACCCCTGCACCCCCCCCCCCCCCGGCAACCATTACTCTACCTCTGGTCTCAATGATTTTGTCATACACATTCAGTATACATGTAGTCACCCAGGATGTGGCCTTTTTTGTCTGGCCTCTTTTTTTTTTAAAGATTTTATTTATTTATTTGAGAGGGAGAGAATGAGAGATAGAGAGCATGAGAGGGAAGAGGGTCAGAGGGAGAAGCAGACTCCCTGCTGAGCAGGGAGCCCGATGCGGGACTCGATCCCGGGACTCCAGGATCATGACCTGAGCCGAAGGCAGTCGCCTAACCAACTGAGCCACCCAGGCGCCCTTGTCTGGCCTCTTTTACGTAGCATCACGTTTTTGGGGTTCATCCATGTTGTGGCACGTGTCAGCACTTCATTGCATTTTATGGGCGACTAATCAGTAATCCCATTGTATGGATGTACTGTACTTTGTTGATCCATCGGTTGATGGACATTAGACTTGCTTCCACTCTTTGGCTATTATGAATAATGCTGCTGTGAACGCTGTGTGCAAGTTTTTATGGGGACGGATGTCTTCTAAATAGCCCCGGGTCCATTTACTTTTAACCGTTGGCACTTCATGACCCGAGTAACCAATGGGTTGTTTCTCAGGCACCCATGATCATATGTTAATCAGGTGTCCAAAGCTCTTCTGACAACTCTTTAGATGTCTGCCTTCCCAAATAATTTAATAAATAGAGGGGGAAGAACATGAAAGGGAACTTTCTAGGATATCTTTTACACCTACAGTGATCTTTGAGGTGTCCCAGAGGGGCCCTGGAAAATCACAAAGATCTGGGTTTGCTCCTTATTAAAAGAGGGATGCTAGAAATAATTAGGCTGGTTTGATGTATTAACTGTCATAAGATTTGCATGAGAAGAGTTGTCAGATCAGAAGACATGTTCCGCCTACCTGAAGTTAAGCTTATATGGATGAAATGTGAATATATTTTAGAAGAAGTGTGTGTGTGTGTGTGTGTGTGTGTGTGTGTGTGTGTGTGTGTGTGT